CGGACATCATGAATGTGCGTCTGCTGCTGTGGGGAAACTACAGTTTTCTATACAGCGGACTACATGATGTAGAATAAGAACGAGGGACTACTGTAAACTCATCTAGAGACTCTGCACCGCGCTCTGATGCTGTTGCTTTATGCTTTATGAACGTGGACAACAGAGAAACATATTCTTCATGACCAAAGTTGGAATTGAAATAAAAAAGGAAAGTGAAACTTATGCTCGTCACCCTCTCCCTCCGGTCCACATTAATACAATGACCCCAATACGTGTTATTGTATGAAAAGATCTTAAAATAAATACAAATGTATGTTAGGAAGGTTCCTATGCAAAATTGACTATTCGACCGCAACCGTATCTCTGTAGGATTTCCTTCAGAGAGAGCACAGCATTGTCTCCTCCCTTTCAACACCCATTTATTTCATTCTGGCACTCTTTTATGAATTTGACACTTAAAAGTAAGGTTGATCAGATTGTATACGGCAAAGAACACCTGTGCTCTGTGTTCATAAAGTGAAAATGGTATACTGAAGAGAGAGCATGCAGAGAGAGATCCCTGTCATCTTCAGGTCAATGCGCCCACATGCTGCTGGTTGAAATCTACTGAAATACAAAGAAACAAAAAAGATTGACAATTTCTAACGGTGAGGAGAAGTTCAGCCTTGCACTATTGGTAATCCTTGAAGCACTGCTAATATTCTCAGTCTGAATTATAGCCTTGCAATGGTATAGGACTTTCAGTCAAAATCAAATGGCATTGAAGAAACCTGCTAAAGTGTTGGTACACAGCTGAAATGAAACATAGACGATAAGATGATTCAAATGTATTTTAAACCTTTTTGATCAAGTTATATATCTATCACCTAGAGAAACCAACATGGTTCAATTTCATGCTCAGTTAATATAGATTAGTTGCACCAATCATCTGATAATAGGTGTCAGAATCAAACGGAATAACAACACAGAAAGAAAAAAAAGCGAATTGATGGTCACCAAGAGTGTTACATTACATGTCATTTGTTAGAAGCTTTTATCCAAAACTTACATACATTCAGTACTGTGGACAATCCCCACATGAGCAATTTGGGGTGAAGTGTCTTGCCGCAGTCGGACTCGTACTTGCTATCCCCTGATTCAATGTCCAGCACACTACTGAGCCACAGCCTCCCTGTCACTTGTTTGATAAGCTCCACTAAGGCACCAGGGAGCACAAAGTCCTCGCAAGACCATGGTGAAGACTAGGACGAATTGTTAGTGTCCTTAACTGCATATGGATTTGGTGATTGAATATGTAATGTTACTCCACGACAAATTGAAATGCACTCAGAAGCTCCCTCTAGTGTTTCTCTCCAATAAATAAAATATATGCACGACAGACCCAGTATAACAACCGTAGAATATTTATTACAATTAAAAAATCCACACTGATCATTAGGATTCAACCAAATCTAAACCCTGGGAGAAGTAGTTATGGTGCAGCTGGTAAACAATGTGTTGCATGCTCAAATACAAAAGAGGAACACTGTCTTCAGCATGTGATCCAAACTGTGGCACAGTATCTGTATAGTGGACAACATCTTCGGAATATCAAAAAAGGATAAAGGTTGAATTTTGATATGGCTTAATCAGTCAATTTACACATCCCAGCTTTTCTTAAATCGGATGTAATGTTCCTATTTGCCCAATATTTACTAAGATTACGATCGTTGAATAATCTCGAGCTTTCTGAGTTTGCTAGAGAAAGGCTGTGAAGAAAATACTCCGGGTATGTGTTTTTGCTTCCCTGGAGTGCAAGGCCATCAGGGATGGCACTAGGGGGCATCGTTATACCACAGGAGGAAAGACCTGCCACCAATCAAATATACATCCATTACTATGGCAACTAGGTTTCTGCACTTCTTTCTCTGTGAAATAGATTTTGCATGTTTCTCAAAACACAGGGCAGAGGGCAAAGTGAACTACCATTTGGCTTGTACATTTTGATAAAAATGAATTGCTTTGACACTTGAATGAAGAGTTTGGTTGGTTCACATTCATTCTATACACCACAGAAGTACCTCTGTTAATACTTTTTGAGACTAGAATGTGAAGAGGAATTTATATATCTGCACTTACCAGCACTCAAGTGCTTTCAGCCAGAGAGAAAACACAACTTGGGGTCAAGATTACAGGTCAGTGCATCACAATGGTCTTTTAATGGGTGAAAATATGTGATCTCCAAGCTGTGCTATACAATGTCTCTCTCTCTATGGAGGGTAATGTCAAGGTTCAGGACGCAGTGTTCACTGCTGCATTAAGAGTTGTTTGAAATGTAAGCATTTTTTCTATAGCGGTGCAATTAAGATTGGCCCTGGAATGGAGCATGGCATAGACAGCTTGACAGTGAAGAGCTTTATCTATGATTTATAGTGACATTTATTATTTGGTGTTCTAGTATATTCACAATCCATAAAAAGCCCCAAAAGTCACATCAAGGACTTATGAGATTGAATTGCAGGAATGTAAATGTTTTTGTCAAACATATCAAAGCACATAGCAGCTGTTCTGTACACAAAACACTTAAATATCATAGGGCCTTGCTACAACAACAAAAAACGAACATTAACCTTGATTGCCGCAGTATACCTGGAAATTGCAATCTTAAATTGTAACTCCAACTAAGAGTACGTGTCAACAAAGTTCTATTTTTACACCAGAGTTTATAGGAGAGGGAGTCTCCTTCACTGTGTGATTTCAATCTCTGATTACACAGTACGTTTCAACAAAGAGTAAATTGCTACTCTACATCCAAGACAAAGCTAAATGTATTGTTGCACACTTGAACATAAAAGGGGACTTCCATGTGTCCATACGTTTAAAATAAATTACTTTTACGTCGTTTGTTTGGGAAATAGTCTACAAAACACGAGCATGTCACTGCAACGTAGGCCTATCTGCATACTGTCAGCTAGGTGTAATTAATTATGCTTCAAAAACATTCATATACATTCTTAACCTGCATAAAACTTTAAATATCATATATCCGCAAAACACATTATACGAGGATATTCAGCACAAACGGAAAACTTGTTAAAAACAAGCTACAGGTGGTTGTTCAAGCACTGTTTCAAATGGCACGTATTTATCGAACAGGTAAAACTACGGTAAAAATGCGATTAAAAAAAATGTCATGTCGGCAATACAGTAATCCGTTACACTTCCATTAACTATAAATCTGTGCTACTATAAATAGCTTCAACACTTCTGCTCACCTGGAAACATATCATGACGTCCCTACTGCTTCTGCGTCATACCTGTAGGACCCCAAAGCTGACCACAGATATTTGTAATAAATGTGGTTTATTATGTCACAATATCATCCAATATACTGTGAGTATTTTACAGCAACAAGGTTGACTTGTGAAAATGAGATATCAAATTATGATTTTATCACCTTCTTGGTGTCTTTTGATGTTTGCCTTTATGCATTATTGCCAGAGATAGGCCTCCATGAAATAACTATTTTAATCAGTGATGGATATGACTGTTATTTTCTTGAGTTCTTAATAAGTGGCCTTTGAAAATGTCAAATGAATAAACCCAATTATTATGTTATATTGAAACGTTTAAGTTTGTTTTGTCTATCAAACTGTCCATATAAATATAGAGCAAAATGTAATAAATATTCATGTTTCAGAAGCCGTAACCAGTGATTTTCATGAGACAAAAAATACTGACTGAAATGATTAGTTGACTATGTTAAATAATGCACTAATTGTTTCACTCCCTCCATCAGATAGAGACTTAAAGCTGCTGATGTCATCAAATGGTCTGGATTTGGATCATTCAATTGATTTTTTCCTGAACGTTTTGCATGTATAGTCAAGAACAGCTGAATGGTATGTTTCTCGTTGTATAATTCTGTGTTTATCTCCAAAAAGGCTCTCCCTCCACATTCCTGTACTTATCACTCTTTCAGACACCTGAACAAGCACTTCAGGTAACAGCATGTTTCATCGCAGGGACAGTTAAGTACACAACACATTTTTCCTTCAGTTGGTAAAATTGTGTTTGTTCACCCATGTAGCTGATATGATTATGTGAGTGTGAAAGTAAATGAACTAAAATGTTTGTGTGTGTGTCTTTCGGTACAAACACTATACATGTTTATAGCTTCTCCCTCTAAAAGTGCATGATAAATATCATACTCTACAGTAGGATACTTGTCTATGGAACATATCAGAGGTGTAAAATAACTAATTACATGTACTCAAGTACTGTACTTAAGTACAATTTTGAGATTCTTGTTCTTTACTTGAGTCTTTGCATTTTCTGCTACTTTGTACTTCTACTCCATTACAACGGTAAATTGTATACTTTTGCTCGACTACATTTATTTAATACCTTTAGTTACTTTACAGATTTGGATTAATGATGTGAAATATAATCAACACTTAAATAAGACTTTAGTTAACCCTGAAGTAAATTCACAATCTACCCTGCAGTAGTATTCAAAATCATTAAAACTGTACCTTTACCAGCTCTGATAACACTTTAATGCATCAATAATTATAAACGAAACATATCATATGTATTATTCTGAAATGGAACTATTTGCATAATGAGTACTTTTACTTTTGGTATTTTCAATTGTTTTGTTATGCTAATACTTTTTCTTCTTTTACTTGAGTAACATTTTGAATACAGGACTTTTACTTGGAACAGAGTATTCCTACTGTGGTGCTTCTACTTTTACTTAAGTACAGCATCTGAGTACTCCTCCCACCTCTGGCAATTATTATTGTTGTACACTTTTACAAAGAGAGGATAAAAGAATGAAAGTCCACTCAGCAGACATTCCTCCCTTTGAGATGTAAAAAGTGACAGTATGAACTGACTTAAATAAGGAGGCGCTCTCCAGAGATGACGCGCTCTCGTGCCTTCCCCTTGATTGACACCCGACATGTTAGCGCACGTACACGAGCAATGAAATATGCCCCCACGTTTTTGTATACGCGCATATTTTACTCAAAGCCCGTGGGTGCCGGCCGCTTATAGTGTATGACAGCAGTCATTCCGCGCGCACCCTCCTCGCAGCCACTGCGTGTCCTTTGACCTCTGTCGCTTTTAAAATAGAGAAACGACCTTGTGGAGACTTCAGTCATTTGCAGTTGTTGACTGATAAGTTTTAGGCTACACTCAAAGAGTTACACACGTTGGGCTTGTGAGGTTAAAAAATAAACGAAATAAGTTTATCCACACCAGTTGTGAAGTTTGTCACATCCGGGACTGAAACTTGTCATCACTTTTTCATTTTGGACGCGACGAGCTTCTCCTGAGGGAATTGAAGACGACACTTCGATAGGTAACACACTTTTGTTATCACTCCAGTTGCTTGTCTTAGGGTAAGCTGCACAACACAATGAGCTTCTAGACAACTTAATTATGTTTTTATTCAGGTTTACGCAGAAAAAATACGAAAGCGTAAAAATGCAGGCACATGGTGAGAAGTCAAACTTGTAAAATGCAAGTAAAATACTTTCATCATGCAGCCTGAACTTTAAGGCAGTATGTTGAACGTTTTGTTTATCAGTTGAAATCAGGGGCAGTTCACAGATGAAGACTTTACCTGTCAGCAGTCAGATCCCTGTGCAGCTCAAAAACAAAAAAGAGTCTCTACCTCATGCAGGTTTTGGGAACCCAAGTATGAAATCCTGCAGTAAATGGTATCAAAAAGCCATAAACAAAAAGTATGGACAAGTTCTGACTTTTATCTAGACTCTTCATGTCTGTGCTTTAGTATTTTCACTGTGTGCCTTTCCCTCCCTCTGGAGGCATTTTATATACACAGTTATTTAAATGATATTTTTTTTGACACACATACAACTTAATAACCTATTTATTTGTAATATCCCATCACTTATTTGATCTAATCTCATTTGTGTTTATAAATATGTTCTGAAATCACCATAATGTAGCTATTTCAGCTGATTTTTTACAAGGATTTTCAGGTTTAAACCAAATCATTTTCACACCTCAGTCAAAGGTTAATGGATTTTGTGACCCATGGTTTGTTAAGGGGTCAAAAAGTTAGACATTTACAGAGTTGCACCAATTTTTACTCCGGTTGTTTACAATTGAGATGTTCTGTCTTATTCCAGTCCCTTACAGAAGGTGCAATGAATTTGTTTTATAAGACTTAAGCTTTTCATTGACAGTGTTTTTGAAGTTGTGAGACTTTTAAAAATGACATAAACATGAGGCTCTGCAGTCCTGTGAAACTAATTTGCTCACCTTTCAAAAACCACCCTGCCTTACATGCATGCAAATGCTTCATAGTGGGACCACATCTCTGTGTGTCTTTTCTCCCTGCCTGGCCACTCAGAGTGAAGATGAGTATTGGCGGGTCAGTTGCCCAGAGCATTGGCCACGATAGTCCTGTGAAGCCGGCCCATTCAAGTCTCTGCAGCTTTGTCATAGCCAAATGGGTCGAGCCTCTCATCTCTCTTTCTTTGTGTGTCACAACTTGACTGAAAAGTGGTAATTGGGAAATCCTGGGATCCTCACTCCCTGGGGTGATATCCGGGGCAAGCTTTCAATAATTACATTTACAGTACAACAAGTTGTTACATGAGAAACAGGTCAGCTTTTAATTTCAACCGTGGAAAACATCCAGTATTGTGTTCATTCAGGCGTGGTGTGATCTCGCTCAGATTTCCTCTCTCCACATGTTCAGGCTCAGTCTGCTAACTCAATTATAGCTGAGGATATTTTATCATCAGCCATTTAAAAAGGCAGGGTTGGCAGTATTGATGAAATGCCATAGTTGAGCCGTTGAGTGACAGAAAAGTAATCAGCAACAACTTTGATAGATGATTCAACGTTTTAGTTTGAGCTTTTTGAATGTGAATTTTGATAGATAATAATACTTCAAGTAATCCCAACTATTGTTTGCAAAATGTCGACAAATTAAAAATTAATTGTGCATATAGTTCCATGAATTTAAATTGATGTCTGCTATTCCCCAACAGACTAAAACCCCCACAGATATTCTGATTAGTTACATATACAACAAAGAAAGATTTAAACCCTCAAAGTTTAGTAACTGGAACCAGGAACTTTTTGAAATGTTTTTCTTAAAAATTACAATGAGGTTCTTACAATACTGTAGCTGCTGATGTTTGTTGTTGTTGATTTTTGCAGCTCCAACAGGCCTCTTTAACACACTGATATTTCTGGCTCTTCGATTGATTGATTGATTGATTGATTGATTGATTGATTGATTGATTGATTGATACATTTATTTCGAACAAGTAAAATAAATAATTACAAAACAAATGTTGCAGAGCATAGTCATGTAAGAGAAATCAAAACAAAAAATGACATTTACAACAACAAAAACAGCATTAGCAACATAAACAGTGCCACATCTAGTGTTCGAAAAGGAGTGAGAAGAAGTATAACTTATTTAATCTCACCCCCTTGTCCCTAAATTATTTATTTATAATCTATAATCTGCAATAATTATCATTTGTATGCATTATTATTGATATTATTAGTATTATTAATCTGCTTTACCTGTTGATTGGCATATATACATATAAATACACATACATACACTGATATACATATATGCACACATACATATACACACCTACATACCCACACATATACACATACACATAGCAAACATCCTTCCCATCCTGTACCCTCGAGAAAATAATTTCTCTGTATTTCCTCTTGAACTGGTTAATGTCTGGACATCGCTTTAGCTCCACATTCACACTGTTCCATAATTAAATCAAAAATTCCATCTTCTTATTCATCAGTACTCTGACCCCGGGCAACCTGAACAAACCCGCAATAAAAAAAACAAGCTACCTTTATTGCGCAATTTTTAAAATAAATTCAACCTGTACAATCTACAAAGTGCCGAATTTCTCTGTTGGATTGGAAATGAGAGCGTACAGCAATTGTCGCGATGAAGATGATATTACAGCAGTTTCATGTGGTGTCGCTATGGTGATCAGCTGAGAATCCCACCTACTCTTAGGGGAAATATCTGCAGTGGAAAACCAAATGAAGAAGGACTTGGTACTAAAAGTGAGTCAGGTTGAGTAGAGCGGCAGCATTCAATGGAAATTATGCACAAGAAACGCAGTATCATGCAGGTTGTTTTGACTTAAGGGTTCAAATATGTATTGAATTTCCAAATCCATGGCTCACCTGCATTTTCTGCTTTATTAGAGTCAGAGAAAGGATGTTAAAATCTAAATGTCAGATGGTGAGTGGTTTGTCTGAGTGCACTTATACAGAGGCAATCGAAGGCAAACTGACTCGAGATTCACCCTGGAAATGTTACAATGCTTTGACACTGAAATGGAAATCAAAACGTTCCAAAGCAAATAGCTCCCTAGTGGCAGCCCAGAGAGAACATACATGCAGAAGTGTCCCAGTAAATCACTTAACACTGTTTTCAGAGGCTGTAAACAGCATCAACCTGTGACAGGTATGTCCTGCATGTGTTGCCACATGCCAGGCATGCTGTCTCCTCCTCTCCACTTTGCCTTGCAGAGGAAAAGTAAGATATATTAGTCTCACAAAAACCTCTGTAATTGTATTACTGTAGTTTGATGGTATATTTACTGAGTTCTGCTCTAGATTAAACACTGGTTTTACAGGAGGGTTAAACTAACACCAATCTAGATAGATAAATAGATAGATATACTCTATACATTATTGATTCCAATTTTGGAAAAAATTTTGTTACAGAAGTGTCATTGTGTTCAGACATTAAAAATAAAAATACTTAAAAAGTGGAATAGAGAATTAACAACTACAAATTTAAAGTAAAAATAAAATGAAAAATATTATATAAAATATCAACAATATAAACAGTAGGCCTATAGAAAGTCTGGATAATTAAAATGTTCTAAAAAAGTTAAAAATACTTCCGATAGTAGCAGGAATATATGCTTACACTACAGGAGCAGACATACTTGTATAAACATAGGATAGTATAAAATGTAAAGATATACAGAACATTGCAGATTGTTCATAGTTACTACAGTAGTAGTAACACAACACAACTTGAAATTTGGTTAAATAAAGCATGAATATGAAATATTGTGCCAAGCATATGTATGCCACATTATGTTATTGTATAATGCATTAAATGGGTTTGAAATGCAGCTAAATGTGTTGTGTCGGAACACAGTATATTTAGCTGCTGTCAGCATCTGAGCAGCTCATTGTTATCCATTAGGAGCAGCTAGTGCAGGGTAAGAGTCTTACCAGGCAGGGGGTGAGATTCTCAGCCACTTAATCAGGGACGCGATGGGAAGAGTAAAACTCCATGCCAGTCACTTATAGCCAGCCACATTATGCTGTCAACATGCCACTGCATGCAAAAATATAACCTAACCTAATAATCTAATTTAGTGGTGCAATAAGCCCTCGATCGCAAATGACTTCCAGAGGGTTTTTAGATTATTAAATGTTTGCATTTGCTGTTATCAAATTCTCAGAGCCACTAGGAATTGATTGCTGTGTTGGAAGTGTATTGACGAGGCTGACACAGTTGGGGATTCTCTTAATTAGAAAGTATAGGAAGGGGAGGCAAACACACAAGACAAACACAAAATATAAAGCAATTACAGTCTTCTCATCCCGGCAATGCAAAAGTCGTTAAACAGCCTTAAAATGCTCCATTATGCCATGTGCAAGGCTCTCTAATTGCTGCAGGAACAATTACTGAGTTCAAATATACATATTCTTCCGAACACACTAAATGTTTACCATGAAATCCTTCATGCATTACTACACTCGATTCAACAAAATCGTCTGTGGGAAACAAAATGCAAAGAGTGCTTCAAAGTAGAGGCAGAGGCAAAGGCTGCAAAATATCTCTTACTCCCGAAAGCAAAATAATGATTTTGACAGAAATGTGATTATGTTTGCTTTTCTAGAGAAGCACAATAATCACATATTTTACATATCAATAGCCCCGGAGAAAGCATTCATGTGGATGAACTGTTTAAGGACTGTTTAAGAAGATAATCTGAGCAAACTGCATACATGAATTTAGCAGCCTGTGCTTGAGAATGTGAGATAACAGCTGTCAGAAACAGTGTGTCATAATTGTTCTTTGCATGTTTAAATTATGTTGTAACTGATTTAACTTTTTGTATTTGTCCAGTCTTTAGTACCACAGTGCAATACACATTACACCAGCCCACCCCCAAAAGAAATAATGGTTAAGAAAAATCCAAATTGGAATTTTTATGTCTGGTAGGTAGTTTTGCTGTGTCGTTCCCATGGTCTTTCCTGCTGTGAGTTTTAGTTTGTGTTGTAGCCTAACTCCCT